AGATTTCGGTGGCATACTAGTGTGGGGGTCCACACTAGTATGCACTGAAATCTCATCAACCCTCAGTTTGGGTGGACGGTGCCTTTAAGGTTGGGCTTCATCCAGTGTTCTAGACATACAATATGCGCAGAGATAAACTTCGTAAAGCTTGTACAACGCGCAGACATAATGGGCGGTAGTTCCCAAAATCCTCCCGTTCGCCCTCCTTGAAAAGAAGGACAATTTTTGAAGGTCTCACTGTTCGAAATTTTTCCTTCTGTAGATTAGATGCTGGTAGGCGACGCCAGAATCTCGTGTAGACCTTGCCTCCGGCTCGCAGGAGTTCGAAGGAAAGATGTTCCGGTCCCGGATCCGTAAACTTTCAAAGTTTGAATCGCAGTGTGCGCTTCAACAGGAAGCATTCTTGGTGATACTTCTCCAGTGGGAACAACGGGCAACGGCTCGGGCGTTGATGAGCGGAAGAGATTGGTGTAAAAGTTCTTCGCGATAGATTTCGTCCAATAGTGCAGCCAGCGGCACATGATATTCGCAAAGGTCCCTTCAGCTCTTCTTAAGACTTCGTCTTTCTTCGGCTGCTTGCAGTATTTTGGCTTGCCTGTATTTCCTGAGATCATCCTGCAAAGCTGTTCTGCAAATGGCGCTCGAGATGGGTTGCATTCAGATCTTGCCGCAAGGTTTTTTTTCGAGTAGTTTTTTGGCCAGGAGGAAACCCCCGGAGAAGAGTTTGGGCTCCAGCAGGGAATTAGGTAGTGAAATGGTGAGAAGTTGTTGGAACCAGAGGTGCGATAGGTGGAGCCGGGCCTCCCAAAAGTGAAGGTGGTTCCAGCTACCACTGCCCGGCCAAAAGTGAAGGTGATAGTGCCGGACACTCACCTCTCAGAAACGTGGACCGGGGGGGGGGGGGGGGAGAACTTTGGATAATTGAAGAACTCTAACCCAACGGTCCCCTTGAGGGCCAACAAGTGTGACCTAACGGCCCTCTTTAGGGCCACAAATACGATGAGTACAGCGGCATAAAAATTTAAAAAAAGAAATAAACGTGCTATTCAAATGGTCTATTTGTAAGTAAAACCCAATTAGACCTTACGTATTCAATTAAGTAAATTTTGTTATAACGTACTGCGAATAAAGTAGGTCTCCAGGCAGCAACCACCGAGAACCAGAATTTCGAATAATATAATAAAATAGAGAAAAATCATGCGAAATTTCCACTGTTATAAATCTGGTGTTTGAAGATGTCAGCAATTGCGACTTCATAGACTTTAAAGGGCAAGTGTTGTTCTACCAGACAGTGAAAAAATTGAATCGATCTGAGCAGTGACCGCCGAGAACAAGAATTTTAAAAAATTAAGCGATTCTAGGTTACTTAGTGAATACTGGCATTTAGACTCCTATAAATCTGGATTATGATGGTATGCGATGTTGCGACTTCATAGGTTTTGTAGAGTAAGAATTGCTCTATCGGAATATTTCTTAGCTGCACCGATCCATCAAGATACCGCGGAGATCCAGGCTCTTAAAAAAACAGGTAAAAAACCGCTTTTTGAACTTCAATAGCTCATAACTTCTTCAAAACTGCATGAATCATGTTGCGACTTCATATGTTGGATTCTCCTTTGCAAGAGCTTTCAGATGATATATAATTTGTGAAGGTTTCTTGCCCCTCACGGCATATGCTCAGAGTGGAGACTTTTCAACCCAAAGTCTCCACTAGCGGTCTCCAGCTAATACATTAACATAGGCGAAGTGGAGACCATACCTTCGATACATAGAGCCACGTACTCTGGTAACCTTCACTTTGAGTGTCTTGAGAGGACACAACCTTCACCTGGAGGGGAGTACAGACGTCATCCGGGGCGAAGCCCCGGATATTATGACATAGCTAATGACTAACTATGTAAGGATGAATGTGAATGAGGCAAATATAGTAGTGACATCCGAAAAAAGCTCAAAAAACGAAGGATTGCAGTCTTATGGCCTTTTTATGCTGAAAAGGTTTTTCTTCAAAAACTCAGCTAGAAATTAGATTAAAACTTATCAGTTAACCTTTCTCTGGACTGCGATTGAGCGTTGGAGGTTCATGAAAGCCGCTGGAGCTCAATAAAAACGAGAAACTGCGTTCAAATCTTGCGCAAAAGGTCGCCACATAAATGCTGGTCTATCTCGTTATGGAGTGATTTTCAAGACCCGCGACGTTGTCATTGCTCCTGGCCGTGTCATGAGGATCACAACGATATATAATATCGTAGGGTTTCGTTATGACCCCGCGGAGATCAATGACCAGAGCCAAATGCCTTGCCGGCTCTGGTCTGTCTCCGCTGCTCGTCTGCGTCTCCGCGCGCTGCGCGCTACCTCGCTACCCCAAACGCGGGGCGCGGGGCATTTGGCTCTGGTACCCTTTTCTTCGCTGTTTCGAATCCAAAACTAGCAAGCTATATATCATTTTGAAGCTCTTGATCTCTATTTTCTCGCTGACAACGTCGCAAGACTACTTTTTATGATTTAAACGAGAAATCCGGCAAAAACCTTGTTTTGGAAAATCTCTTGTTTTTCTTCTAGTTTAACTCTTTTCACGCAGTTTTTTTGTGTGGTCGATAGGTCTTGTTTCTGTCTATATTGTAGACAACGTCGCCGAGCTTATTTCTTTGCTTATGCCGGGTTTTTTTTTGTGAAAATTGCCAAAAAATGCGTTTTTCTTTACCTTGTTCTTTTTCAGTGGTTTCGCAACGAATTTTCTCCAGCTTGGACGTTGCTTGCTCAGAACGATGAGCGGAAGAATCCAGACAACGTCGCAGGGGACAAGAAGGACGGTACGGGGGTAAAAATTTAAAGGACGCACCAAAAAAAGCGGGTTAGTTTTGACATATAAACAGTCTCTATGAAAACAACAACTTTTCGTTTTCTTCTGTACATTTCTTGCTTTTCACAATAACAATGTTCGCTTTTTGTTATGCCCCAGAATAGGCGTGAAAAAGGGTTCTATCTTAGCTTCGTTTCCCCCGGGGTTTGCATCTTGAGTCCCGCAGCGAAAACGGCAAATCGAACGCCGCCAAATCCAAGATTTCAATGTTGTTTTGGCGTCTTTCCCTCATTTTTGTTGTTTTTTTTTATTTTATTTTGTTTCACTCATCTTTTTATTTTCAGATGGACGTCGATTGTGTTCTAAGCTCCGGGGACGTCAACGCCATCAAAACTGCGTTGCAGCCGCAAGGATGGTGAGTCGTTTTTTTTACCATTCATCGATTTTCGGTTTTTCCTTGTTTTTTTTGTTTTTACTATTTCTTTATTTGTATAGGCCGACCGCGCAGGGCGCGGAGAGTGCATAAGATGTGTATCGCGCGACATTCCTCTATACTCACGCACTCTCACCTCCTGTTTTCTCTGCGCCTCTTCCAGTTATGAACTATCCCAACGGACGCAACTGCGTTGCTTTCCGAGCACGGCGCGGACGGCCTATACTAGCAGCAGTAAGAATATGATTAGAAGTGCTCGAAATTGATTTCTTTGGCTGACAAGAGGCTCTTTTCTATGACGTTGGCAAAAAATTGAAATGAGGACTTTTTAAAACTAAGAAATTTTCGAATTGGGTGTATGAAACTTTTGTAGCGGGTAGTACAGAGTGATTTGTACCGTCATCGTCTCTCCAAAAGAGTGAATATGTCAGGTTAGGCGGCAGTAGTCAAGTATTCTGTTTCAGAAAAACACAGTTTTAAAATCTTCACATAAGAGGCCATGAGCCAAATATTTTTGAGATTAGCCTGGTCTTGCGAGAAAAAAAAATTGATTCTGAGATGCAAGAAGGTATCCATCAATAGCATCATGCTTTAGATTCAATATAACAAAATCGGATCTCTTTTTTTTTCGAAACTGTGGTCGCCTTTGCTTTTGAAGTTGAGATTACAAAAAGTTGCTTTGAATGAGTAATCTAAATCAAACAATTTTGCCCGAAAAGTACATTGTGTGAATATCATAAACTTTGTTCGCGTTCTAGAAGATTATTGATTAGTGGTGAATTAAGTGAAGGTGTTCAGATAACAGTCCATGGAGAGGAAGGGCACTCAAATTATTCCATGACTAAACTTGACCAAAAGCCTATCTTAGAAGTAGTTTTTGGGTCTTCAGTTTTCTTAATTCTCTTCTTAATCCAAATGCTTTGAAAAATTTCTCCCTTACGAATTCTCTTGAAGACTGAAACTACATCATACTTTCCATATCCTGCTTTATTGCAACTTTGGAGAAGATAGATGACTGAATGAATCCCCGCATGGAACCTCATATCGATGCAAGAGTTTCGAAGTTTTATTCTGCCCGCGGTAATAAGCGTTAGTCTACTGCACTTTGGTACTTTGGTCCGAATGACGCTTTTCCTCTTCTCATAAATCTTGGTATTTCCAATCCATAACTTTTGGAACTACTTTATGAGGCTCTGGGCAGAGTTGACGCGATTCAATCGTCCGACTGAATCGCGACAAGACAACTGTTACGAGTTCATTGCATGCAGACCAGCTTGCATTTTGGTTGTGATACTTTTCCAGCCCGAAATTTTTGAATGTAAAATGAAACTGAATGGAAATCGCGGCGATTGAATCGCGACGATCAAATCGCGTGAACTCTGTCCGAGGCCTGAAGCGGTGTCTGCTCCCTCCGCTTTCACCGCCCTTCAAATAAATTTTCTGAAAGCAACTTAGGTTTAAAATTTCGTTCGCTTCACTGACAATGTCCAAATATCAGGCTTTTTCTTCATACCCAGCTGCTAGGATGCTAATTGTCGAAGCAAATTGCTCAAACTTCCTCGAACCAATGGCAAGAATTTCTTGACAATTTTTTCGATTTTGATGTGATCTAGGTACATACTTTGCCAAGCTTCAAAATGTGAAAATTCTCCATGATCCCCAAGCTAATTCCATAATTTGATCAGTCCTATTCAATTTTATATCATCCAGTGCAAAACCTACAGAGCAATAACATTCTTATAATACACTGCTGTCAAAAATACCTCATCAGTTTCTGCATTTTTCATCGTCGCGGGCATTAAAATGAAAGCCTCTCCCGCCGAGCGCCAACTTGCACAACACAATGTTTTGAAAGTCCGATGAAACTTGTGACTCCCACGGTTTGTCAGCGAAATTGTTCAGTACAGATGTGGTTTTAGAAACTTCGGTTTCCGTAGCCCATATTGTCGAAGACTGGTCCTGAATACGTGATCAAGATGATCTGAATAAGAGATTTCTTGCAAATGTACTACCTGCGCTTTTTTAGATAAGTCACCGATAATACTAAGTAGGTCCAATTGGAACAACAGATATCTGTACATTTTTATGGATTTCAATACAGAAAGAAATGCAGCTGCCCTGGTTCTTGTTTGTTTGTCAAACTCATCATGACTTTGCGATATGTCATGCAGTGCAAGCCACAAAGATTTGTACATTTTTAAGAAGTTGTGAATAGCATCTGAAAAGTTATCTTGACAGCTCTTTTGAAGTTTGAAAGGGCAATATGCCTACCTTTTTCTGAAGATGCCCAACGTATTTCTATGATTTCTTTCAATTTTAGTAATCTGCAGTTTTCTAATGATCTGCACGCTCTTTCTAATTTTCTTCGTCTTTTCGTAGCAACTGACCCAAAAAATGAGTAAAGTTTGTTGAGAAAATTAGTGGCAAAAATACGCCATTTGTGTGACTGAGAAGTTTCTTCTCCTTTCAATGCTTCGGCAAGAGCTAACTCAACTTTGTGCGCAAGACAATGTATCCACACGATTGGCTTCTCTGAAACCTTCGATAGCTCCTCATTTGTTGCCCCGTATATCATCAAGTCATTTTTCCGTGACTGAGAGATGTTTGCATTGAGTCTACCTTGTAAACCTCCTTCAGCGATCATGTTTTTTGCTCCATCAGTTGCGACAGCTATCAAGTTCCAAAGCAGTTCCTTGATAAAGTGATTTCTAGCGAAAATATCATGAACGGCATTAAATAGATTTAATCCGGTTTCAGCTTCATTTATCTCTATAGCCTCGAGTAATTGAGTATTCGGAGCCAGACTTACAGCGTCAGGGAATCGTATGAAAACTAGTAATATCTGCTTTCCGCCAATATCAGTGGATCCGTCAATGAGAAGTGAAAATGGAGACTGATTCTTTTGTATGTATCTTATTAGTCGTCCTTTCATGTCTTCACTTATCACTCTTGCCATATTTACATATCCGTCTTGCGTCAAGTGTTTTGTTCCAAGTTCTACTCCGAGACCTTTCACGGCTTGGCACAGATCGGGAAATTTGAATGGTGGAAGGTACATTTTTACAGCTGCGTAGGCAAGTGAAAAAAGCCTTGCAGTAGCTGACAAAGGATCGTTGGGCGACGTGTCCACAGTGGCCAGATAATCAGATATCCTTTTTTCTATCTTTTGTTCATATGATTTCACCGCATTTATGTGTGTCGTGTACCCTCGTGGTGATTCCTCAAAGTCTTGATTACATCCTTTTTGATAGGGATTCCTTCTTCTTTTGCTAAAGGGGACTTTGCCACATCAGGTCGTTCCTTCAGTGCCCCAAAGCAAGGCTCACAACGAATACTAACACCCCCTTTTTTGGTGACGCCATCCTTGCCCAAAAACTGGCATGTAATATGAGAATTCCTTGCTCGCTAATTTTGGAACTTCCTTCATCGTATCACTATCGAAATCGCCCGTGTCTAAGATGAGTCTCATTTCCCGGCGAAAAGCATTTTTCCTTGTGCTCTCCTCATAACGTTCCATTGCATCACGAGCATTCTTGAGCGCTACTTCGTGGTTTACTTTTTCCCTACTTAAGGCTTCTTGGTAGAGGTAATTGACCTTTGTGGCCATCGACTGAAGATCTGCATGTGTGAACGGCGGTTTTTGTAATACAGCTTCGCACTGCTGTGCTTGCTGTAATTCACCTTCCACGCATTTTTCAACCTGCAAGAGCGTCTGTTCATTGGTAGGAGCATCGAAATCTTCCGATCTTGTGCGCGTCGAGGGGCGGTCTTCGGTTTTGATTACTCGCGGCTGCTGTCCTTCTGGGTAACGATAAACTGCCAACTGAGAATTGTATTCAACGTCTTCATCGAATCTGCGTAAGTACTGTGATTCACATTTGTTCTCAAGTCCAGGTGTGTGTTCGCTTAGCTTCCAGAAACTCGACGTGTGAGTAGCCCGATAATCCAGTTCGTCATGTCTTGGAGGGCAAAACGATAGCGATGCTCCTTTTACAATATCTCTTGTTGTCTCTTGTACAGAAATGGCTATCATATTCAATTTGATATTGTGGTCGTTCAGCTTTCGTGAGCTGTTGGTGTAGCTCTTGTAATCGACAAATTCCTGCTCACAACCACCACGTCAACTAGGTGCTCAAATATCAAATCAACCAATTGCATATTGGTCACATACGCAATGTAGTCCCCCCTTTTCCTCTCCATCTTTCTTGCGGAATGCTGCTGCAAGTAAGAGCATTCGCTCATACCTTCCTTTATTTCCTTGCAAACAGTACTGGTAGTGCACCTCTCGTATATGAGAAACACTACTGGGTAGTGCGAGTTTTCTTCCTCGGAAGGCACCGGCGCTATACCGCGTGTTCTGTGTAGAGCCCGAAAGGAGATACCTTGTGCTGAACTGTCTTGGGTGGTCTCCCCATATATCATATCAAAAGGCGGATGTAATTCTTTGGATGCGTCAGTCTGGTTTCCAATGACGAAAAAGCTTGTATCCTTCCTCATGCGTTTATGATATAGAGAAGCGAAAAACAATAGTGCGGGTCGCTCCGATGTTCTTGGTCTTGTGTCAATGATCATAAGGTTAAACTTATGTATACTCATTTCTTTATCCTTGCAATGCTCCCGCGGGAGAGCTATCTCTACGAATTCATCGAGTTCGTCATCATGGTCTTGCGAGTTGGTGCCGAAATAAAGCGTGGAGATTTCGGAAAAATACGGTTTACACACGTTTGGCATTGGATGCGTATGACGACGATATTTGTTTGCCATTAACATCAAGCTTCCTCCGACCATTAGAAGAATACATGTTGTTTTACACATCTACGCCAAAAATTTTCCTCATGGAATCTCCTGTTGTCGACTGGCATTTTTTTCTGAAACAGAAAATAGCCATCAGTCACCTCAGGTGGATTACATAAAGTGATAAAAACGGTAGTCATTAAAAGTCATGTGTGCGTAGTTTCTCTAGTAGTATCTCGTGTTGCTGATTTTTTTTTGAACTGAGCAATATACGATGTAAAGAATAAGTTTAGACATCTTCCCCAGATTAAACGCCCCAAATGATGGTACTGACCAGTGGACAGAAAGGCAGTTGGCGCTTTTACGAGGCGACACAATCGAAAATCCGTTTTACACTAGACAACCAAAAGGCATACACTCGAAGGCTCCTTTACTATAGATAGTCAGCCAAACACCAAAAGTAATGCTTGAAAGTGCAACCGCACGTTTTACCTTAAAAGAAGAAGAGCTTAAAGCAACATAAAACTAGAAACGCAAATGAACAACACGAAAATGTGGAAAACAACGTGACAAGAACGATCTAAGCAGTTGAAGATGGCAGCACTCTATATCGTATAGCCATATTTCGGTGAAAGGCGGTTTGCATGCCGCCACATATTGCATATTCATAGCGCCACTGTTTTTACGGAATCAAAGAACGAACCATTCATCATTGCTGCCAACAAATGCACGCAAACGCTTTCAAAGAAAGTGTTTCGCCAAAGAATGAACACTTTCGACGCCGCACACAATTTTTATGCAGCCAACACTTGGGCAATGCACGCAGTCCCCATCAAGGGTCCAGATTATTTGGATTCATGAGCAAGTGCTCCACTGATTTTTCAACTTACTTGTTCTTTCCACCGCTACCTGCGACTCTGACAAGTGAATGAATAAAAACCACCTCTTCTGCAAATGCTCAGCAAACAGAGCTTCATCAAAAACAACCCATCACTTTTCAAAGCTGGCGAGGGCTCAAACAACCTTCACTTTTGAGAGCCTGTCTCTGCACTATCGAAGGTATGATGGAGACTTTGGGGTAAAAAGTCTCCATCTCGGGTTAGAGCCGCAAGAAACATTGAATCCCCCACATACTATCTATCATCTGAAAGCTCTTGCAAAGGAGAATCCAACCTATGAAGTCGCAACATGATTCATGCAATTCTGAAGAAGTTATGAGCTGTTGACGCCCAAAAAGCGGTTTTTTACCTGTTTTTTTAAGAGCCTGGATCTCCGCGGTATCTTGATGGATCGGTGCAGCTAACAAATATTCCGATAGAGCAATTCTTACTCTACAAAACTTACGAAGTCGCAACATCGCATACCTTCACATCTTTTGCTTATTTTGTTTCTCTCAAGCTTCAGCAGAAAAAATTTTTCAAACTCAAAAGTGAAGGTGGTCACCCCGTACCAGCTCAAAAGTGAAGGTAGGCGGAGACTCGGCTCTGACTATCGCACCTCTGGTTGGAACCCGACAGGACCTTTGGGAGAGAATCCTGGGGGGAGGGGTTAAGGAAAAGGGTGGAATAGGAGCTTTGGGCACCCTGGCCATAAAAAGATTCGGTCGACTACCGCTTTGGACGGGGAGAAGAATGGGCACCATAGAACCCGCCTTTTTAAGAAGTTTTGAAGAAAGAACCGGATACTTTACCAGAAAACCTAAGGGTCTGGGCTCCAAAAGGAACTCTGAGCTAGTAAAATAGAAAGGAAGAGTTGGGACTTAAGGGCAGTGGCTCGGCAAAACCGAACATCTCGATATTTTTATATGAAAGGTTGCTTACTCTCTAAACATAAGAAAGAAGCAGGTCCGAGCGAACAGCATGCTACCCTTGCCTAGGAAATTGCCCCTAAACCCTGCGCGCAAGCTATATTTTCACGCACTCGAACGAGCTTGCGATATCCCCCATACTGACAGCATGTCGCAGTGCTACTAACATAACATGAGGATCCCAAAACGACTCTACGTCTCTAGCCATGGCGGGAGGACTTCCATTCGTCCAAATTCAAAATGATAGGCCTTGGGAAATTCTTCGGTTTGCCGGTTTTCGCCATTTTCGCGCTTTAGGATGAATTCTCGGAATCAGCGCGCCGAAATAACTCAGGTAAGCGAAACTATAGATCGAGAATTTGCCGAGCCACTGCCTTCAACAGGGCACTTAAGAGAGAAGGAGAAGCGGTAAGAGAGAAACTGTGTGTACTCTGGCCATAAAAAGAATTGGTCGATCACCAGCTTGGGAAGGAGGGAAACGGGAACGGGGGTGGGAACCCGTCATTTGATGAAGTTTCTTATAATAACAAGGAACCCTGGTAGTAAAATGGCGAGTACTTAAGAGAGGATCGGGGGGGGGGGAGGGTTAAAGGCAGTGCTCGGGCAAGAAATCGACTTGAGATTTTGACCTTACTTGGGCCTATTCGCTGTGCTAAATTCGAAAGTCTACACGTGAGAACGCGAAAACGGTGAAAAGGGCTCTAACGTGGGAAGGATATCAGCAGGTGGACGAGGCCTTTCACTTTTTAAAGTCACTCTCTCAGCTTTACGATCTTCCCGATTCCGATTTCAAGTCACGCTTGGAACTTGGCCGATAGCGATGTTAGGGCGGCTAGGGGGCTCTCGAAGTTGGGAGAGCTACTTCACAGAGTAGAGGGCCTCGCCCACCTACTGTATTCCGTTCTGCATTAAAGCCCATTTCGCTGTTTTCGCACCCAGTGTTTTCGGATTTAGCATAGCGAGTAGGTCAGGTAAGCACAAAATCTCAAAATGGACTTTTTGTCTGGGCATTGCTTAAGGAATGGGTGGGAAGGGCACTTTGGCCATAAGGAAATTTGGTTTATTACCATCTTGGCCAGGAGAGAGAAGGGGCACCATGGGACTCAGCACTCTCATTTGAGAAATTTGTGGAGAAAGGTTTTCCTGGTACTTTGGTTAGGAAACCTAGGGAGGGGAGTCTGGGCCATAAGGGAACTTTGAGTTGGTGAATTAGCGCGAAAAAGTTGGGACTTGACAGGGCATATAGGAGAGAATTCCGGAAGGGAGAGGGGTGATAGAAAAACTTTGGGCACTCCGGCCATAAAAAGATTCGGCCGGAGTGCCCAAAGTTCCAAGCGTGACTTGAAATCGGAACCGGGAAGATCGCTGAAGCTGAGAGAGTGACTTCAAAAAGTGAAAGACCTCGTCCACCTGCTGATATCCTTCCCACGTTAGAGCCCTTTTCACCGTTTTCGCGCTCTCACGTGTAGACTTTCGAATTCAACACAGCGAACAGACCCAGGTAAGGTCAAAATCTCAAGTCGATTTCTTGCCCAAACACTGCCTTCAACCCTTGCCTCCCCCCCCCCCCGATCCTCTCCCAAGTACTTGCCATTTTACTACCAGAGTTCCTTGTTACTATATGAAACTTCATCAAATGAGGCAGTTCCCAAGTGCCCCGTTTGCCCCCTTCCCAAGCTGGTGATCGACCAATTCTTTTTATGGCCAGAGTGCCCACAGTTTCTCTCTTATCGCTTCTCCTTCTCTCTTGAGTGCCCTGTTGAAGGCAGTGGCTTGGCAGATTCTCGATCTGTAGTTTCGCTTACCTGAGTTATTTTGACGCGCTGATTCCGAGAATTCACCCTGAAGCGCGAAAATGGCGAAAACCGGCAAACCGAAAATTTTTCCAAGGCCTATCACTTTAAATTTGGACGAATGGAAGTCCTCCCGCCATGGCTAGAGACGTAGAGTCGTTGTGGGACCCTCATGTTTATAGCACTGCGACATGTCGTCAGTACGGGGGATATAGCTCGTTCGAATGCGTGAAAGAATAGCTTGCGCGCACGGGTTTAGGGGCAATTTCGGCAAGGGCAGCATGCTGTGCGCTCGGACCTGCTTTGTTCTCATGTTTGGGGAGTAAGCAATCTTCCATATAAAAATATCGAGATGTTCGGTTTGCCGAGCCGCGCCCTTAAGTTCCAACTCTTCCTTTCTATCTTACTAGCTCAGAGTTCCTTTCGGAGCCTCAGACTCTGTTTTCCTTGAGTTCCCTGGTAAGTACCCGGTTCCTTCTTTGAATCTTTTTTAAAGAGGCGGGTTCTATGGTGCCCATTCTTCACCCGTTCAAAGCGGTAGTCAAGCGAATCTTTTTACGGCCAGTGCCCAAAGCCTCTTCCACCCCTTCCCTTACCCCCCTCCCCAGAATTCTCTCCCAAAGGTCCTGTCGCGTTTCAACAAATTCTCACCATTTTACTATCTACCTGTTAGAGCCCAGACTCTTCTCCGTGGGTTTT